TCGAGTTAGCTGAAATTGAGGATGCATGGGGGTTTTGGTAGGTTTGCAAGCAAGGAAGCCGGTATCACCGAGCAATTTAAGGGCATATTTTCGTTGATAAAGATTTATCCCGGATTGTGTTTTTGTAACTTTCAAACCAAGAAAGTAATAGAGATAACCAAGATCTTTAATTTGGAATGTAGTATGCGGGAATTATTTTAAGGCATCAATACAAGCCATACTATTATCGGCAATGATCATATCATCAACATAAACTAGTAGCAATGAAACCGGAATTATTGGATTTGATGAAGAGAGAATGATTAGAGTTGGCTTATATAAACCCTCGTCGAAGGAGAGTCTGCAGAGAGTTTGGAAAATCACTCGTCTATTAGCTTGTTTCGAGGCCATAGATAAACTTTAATAGTCTACAAACCCGATTTGGTTTAGGATAGAGATAACTCTGGAGAAAGATCCATGTACACCTCTTCATGCAAGTCACCATGAAGAAATGCATTATTAACATCCAAGTTGTTGTAAAAACCAGTTGTGAGCAACAGCTATGGCTAGGAGTGTTCTAATAGTAGTTATCTTTGCAACAGGAGAGAAAGTCTCTAAATAATCGATTCCATTTTGTTGAGTGTAGCCCTTGGCCACAAGTCTAGCCTTATGTCTTTCGATGGAACCATCAGCTCTATGTTTAATCTTGTACACCTATTTACATCCAATGGATTGTTTGGAGGCAAGTAAGTCGATAAGTCGCCAAGTCTTGTTATTCTAAAGAGTAGTCAACTCGACTTGCATGGCATCCCTCCAACAAAAATGTTGAATGGCTTGATTGTATGTAGTAGAAGTGGAATGAGTACCGATGTTGATGGCAAAACTTTGATGATCAAGGGGAACATTAGAATAAGATAAAACGAAGTTAAAGAATGAGGAGAAAAAGAAGAAATACCTAAAGGAGTAATTTTTATACCCGATGTAGAGGATGAATTGGATTGAGGCAATAATGATGCAAGTTTACAGTGATAATCTTGAAGATAGGAAGGGGCCGTGTGAATTCCGGTGGATTTACGTAGAGGAGCAAATGTAGAGGGAGGTGTTTGAGCGAGGAACGGAAGAGTTAAGGGTAGAGAGGGATGTATCGGTAATAGAAAATGGATCACATAGAGGGTCAAGATGAAAAGTGGTGGTAGGTTGTGTGGAAGAACAAGGTGTGTCGAGTATTAGTATTAGTTGGGAATGTATCCCGGTAGCAAAAGGAAGGAGAATGAAAAGGAAAAATGGTTTCATGAAAAATAACATTTCGGAGACAAAGAATTTTCTAGTGTGAAAATTGTATAGCCTATATCCTTTAATGCCATAAGGAAAACCCGAAAATATGTAGTTGGTAGCCCTAGTATCAAACTTGGATCGACCTTGATCGGTTGTGGAAGCAAAACATAAACAAACAAAAACCTCGAGGTAACGGAATGAGGGGGTTTGTGGTATAGCAGGTCAAAAGGTGTGTGATCATGAATGATAGGTGAGGTTATTCTGTTTATTAAATAAATAGCATGAAGGACACAATCACCCCGAAAAGAAAGAGGAAAGTGTACTTGAAAACGTAGAGCTCTAGCAACATTTAGAATGTGTTGATGTTTTTTCTCTACAACACTATTCTCATTAAGGAGTATGAGCATAGGATGTTTGATGTTTAATGCCTTGACCGGCATAGAAATCCGGCATGGTAAATTCCTATCCTTGATCGGTGCGAATGCATTTAAGAGAAAGAGAGAATTGAGTTTTGATGAAAGTACAAAAATGTTGAAGTAATGATCCGGCTTCGCATTTAGTTTTCATGAGAAAAAGCCAAGTAATTCCACCGAAATCATCTACAATGGTCGGAAAGTATTTGTGTCCTTAGACATGGGACCTCAAATATCGGTGTGAACTAGATCAAAGCAAGCATTTGTAACGTAAGTACCGACAGGAAATGGTAATTTCTTTTGTTTAGCAAAGTGACAAATGTCACAGATTACATCGGGATAAACCGAAATAGAAGGATCTATATCTTGTAAAAGTTTGATCCTAGGGATAGAGGCATGGCCTAATCTGTTAAGGCAAATTTCGGAATGAGTTGAAACATTTTGTGTAATGTTATTTATGGAACCAAAGGGTACATCGAAGAAGTTATGTTTCACAGAGCCGAAGTTGAGGATAAACAAGGTGATACAGACCGTGTAATTGTTTACCCAATCTAATCGTCCTCTAACATGCAAGGTCCCGAATAATGCAAGAATCGGATTTAAAAATAACACAGTAATTAGAATTTTGACAAAGTTTATCGGTAGAGATGAGATTAAATGAAAAAGTAGGGACAAAGAAAGTCGAATGCAGTATAAAATCAAGACAGAATTGAACTTGACCAATGTGAGAAACATGTGTAAGATAACCGTTTGGAAGTTTTACAAAAGTGTTAATGACAGATTTATAGGAGGTATAATAATTAAAAGAACAAATAATGTGATTCGTTGCTCCCGAATCAAGAATCCAAGTGTGATTCTAAAATGTTTTTGTATTGTTTAAAAAAGAACATATGGAAACATATTTACTCGACATTTCATCTATAGGAGCAAAGTTAGATGATATAGCATTGACATGAGGAATTACTATAGGAGTGGTGTTAGGTTGGATAAGAGCCATTAATTTGGAATATTGATCTTGAGTGAAGGTGATGCCTGTAGGTTAAGTGTTCCGCATGCTAGCGGAATGAAGACTTGCAAATTGCCCCGCGAGTAAATATCTTGATTTGATTCTAGAGAATCTTCACCAGCTAGAGGAAAATCAACCTAATTGACGGAGCTTCTCGTTAATCTAAATATATTCCTTATACCAAAAGGAAAACCATGTTTCTTATAGCATCTCGTCAACGTATGTCCTTCTCTCGTTATAGAAGGAACAAATAGGTGCTCTTGCAAAATAACTCTTTGGTGGATAGAACTTCTTTAGATTCGAAAATTATTCCGAAATTTTCCTTTGAATCTAGAGACAGATTTGCCGTAAAAGGCACCGACAAGTAGTGTCACTAAACAAGGAGGAGCCAAGAGCAAACATGAATTGTCTTTCATGTTGAGAAGCTAGAGCAAATACTTTGTTGATCGAAGGCGGGGATCTAACAACATGATTTGAGACTTGATAGTAGAGAAGCTATCATTTAATCCCTTCAAAAATCCGATGACATAGTCATTTGACCTATAATTACGAATGACATTGAGTGTAGTACATTTACACTCGGGATCACAAACATAAGCAGGAATAGGCTTGAGATTTGTGAGCTCATCCCACAAAATCTTCAAATGAGTGCAATACTCGAAACCGACAATGAACCTTAATGAAGAGAATATAATTCCTCTTGAAGATCGGATATGCAAAATACATCACTTTGAGAAAATCATTCATGGAGATCATCCCAAACATCTTTGGCGATATCCAACCATAAGACATTATTTTTAATTGATTCGGACACATAATGCAACAACCATGACGGAACTATGGTGTTGCATCTCTCTCGTAAGTGGTAAGAATTATGATTAGAAGTCGGTATTGGAATAGATCCATCAATGAATTTGATCTTATTCTTAGATAAAAGTACCATACGAATTGATCTAGACCAACCGTGATAGTTGGATCCAAGTGAGAGGGGTTGAAACAAGAGTAGAAGTCTGGATTTTCATTGGGATGAAGAAAATATGGGCTTAAAGGAAGTTCCTCTACTCGGTCGTGGAGGATTTGTAGGCAAAGTTGCCATGATGATAACAAATTTCTTATGGAAAAGTGATGAACAATGTCAAATCTTAACAAACCAAGAACGAAAATGAAATTACCGGAGGCTCGATACCATGTTAAAAAGAAAGAAATATAATCAATTGGAAGGAAAACTTTCCCACACTTTATTAACATGAGCTTAGTGTATATATATATATATATATATACATACAAACTGGTAGAGAAGAATTACCAATAACTAATTCTAGCTAACTTTAACTAATCTATAATTAAGAAAGCTAATTGATGATTAGTTATAGCTATGCAAAACAAATTAAGCAACAGAAAAAAGGAAAGATGTCATGCTTCACATGTGCAGTAATAGGTATGTAGGTGTAGGCTTAACGAATTTGTAGGTGTAGTTGTGGATGCGAGAGACAAGCTCGTTAATGTGCATGTTTTGTTGCTTCCTGTGTGCAGTAATAACTTCTAATAGTACTCGTCGCTACTTGGTAATTTTGCCAAGTTCAAATATTCAGTCGTACTTGCTGCACCTTATTCAGACTTACCGTGAATTTCGGATGATCGTAAGTTTATTTCTAGACGTAACTTCGTCGCTAGTTGGTAATTTAGCCAAGTTCAAATTTTGATGGGTACATATAGCTATTGAGAATCCTTATTTGCCGATTTTAACTTAAATCCATAAATAACTTAAATTTATTGAAAGAATTTCTTGTAAGAATCTATACCGAATTAAGTAGTCTTTGCTATTTTGTTTTAGAAAATATATAATCATTTTTACGACATGATTGGTGACATTTTTTTAGCTAAATGTTCCGTGTCGTAGTTAACATGGGAACAGAACTATCTAATCTCCGTATCCATGCTCAAATACTCGTATTTTTTTAATGAAAAATAATCGAGTGCTCACTTGCTTGTATAATTAGTGATAACTGTTTGTACGTAAATATTATAATAATAAAAGCAAAAACTTACAAGATCCATAGAGGCTCAATCCCTATGAAGTCGGTGGAGACTATTTATGTGTATTAAGGTAGTGAAGAGCACACGAAAATCATTTGCTTTTCCCTATTTATCTTATTACCGTTGGTCACAAAAGTGCCCGAATATCCTTTTCCTCAAACATTCCATATATACCTTTAGAGCGGAGTCTTATAGATTCAATCATCATTTAAAACATCAAGGACAAGTCTGTAAAATTAACCAAATTTGGTTTCTCCTTATTATGATTGCTAAATAAATTACATAGAACAATGAGACAACTTCGAGCATGGAAGTGCCTTTCTAAAGCAATAAGTGCCGATCCCGATGATATCGACCTAAGATCCCTTCATGCATTATTTTATGATGAACTTGGAGATCATCAAAGAGTCGCCGAGTCCTATGAACAAATAGTTCGAATCGTCCTAAGGATGTTGAAGCAATAAAGACAACTGCTAAGGTTTTCTTCCAGACTTTGTTCATAAACCCTTATTCAATATAATTATGTTTACCTACTATACATGAAATTATAATCTAATTAGTCTCCTTTTTTTTATTTGTTTTGCTTAATTACCTATAGCAATGTGATAACCCTCGAGCCCTAGCTCTTTTGTAATAAAGTCGAGTAGAGCATGTTTTGAATTTTAGCAATCAAGAGGAAAGAACAATAGGGACTAGACTACCTTATTGATGATTGATTTTTCATTACTCCAAAATTCAATGGAAGAGAAATAAGTCTGCTAATTGATTTTCTTATGCAAAATTTAACATGGAGGAACTAATAGTGGTATCCATAATTGTTATACATCCGAAGCGAATAAAGAAAAGGGGTTGGAGAGCTTCATTGGACATCCATGAGATCAAGGCAATAATGGTTCAACTCCGGGACGAGATTCTTCCAAACTCGGGGAGAATGACCCACGAGCTTTCTTAGGATTTTTTTTATTATATTTCGATATTAGGCTTACTTAATTAATCAAGGGTCATGTGATTAGCATGTGACTTTTTAAAGCATTTCTTTTATAGGCTAAGTAGTTTTGCTTAGGGCCTAAGACTAAGAATCCTTTTCCTACAAAAATATAAAGCTTAAACCAAAAAAAAAATATGTTGCTAGGGTTATTTTTGTAGTATTTTTTTGTTATTTTATCAATCTATTCAAATTCTAAAGGTTTCTTATGAATCCTAAATTCTACTATTTAGTTCCAACTTCAATTTTATCCTAATTTTAGCCACCATTTTGCTATGATTTCTGTTTCTTACTCGTTTTCCTCTTCCCACACTATGTCATAAATGCATTTTCTATATGCAAAATGTTATTTTCTATACTCTTGAAATGCTATTTTTGTTCATCTCCACTATAGTGTAAATGTGCACCATTTAATTACCAGCTTAGAGCCAATCCGATTATAGAACAACCTCCCAAACTTCTTTATGTTATTCATGCAACCGATAGGAAGTTAACCAACTTTCCATCGGAGATACAATTTTGAAAAAAAATAAATAAAAAGGAAGAAAAGATGAACCGAAAGGTAGAACTCCTTTCTACATGGCTACACCAATTAGTCATTCTTGTTTTTGTTTAGCTTCATATGTAGTGGAATGCTTATTCCCATCCACAAAATGCTCTACGTGGCTATATCATGAAAGTTTATGCAAGAATGATGAACCGGCTTATCTCCTCGTTCTTCTCACACTTATGGTGGCAATTTTAGTGCACCTTTCGACCTTTTTTAATTACGTAAAAATGATTGAGAAATAGCAAAAACATCTTTAAACATACACATGCACACACATATTGTATGCGTAATTAATTGTTGATTCACATTTCGTTGATCTTTATATTGCATTTTGTCTAGGAGGGCAATTTACGTGTGAAAATTGCTCGGTGTTACTTATCTTTGAATGATCAAGTAAAAGCGATTATGTTCCTCTACAAAGCTAACATCACCTCACAAGAATTACAGATTTTCTTTTTATTGGAATTGTATTTCAACGATACCTTTTTTATCTCACCCCTTTCTTTCTTTCTTTTTTTCCTTTTTTTTTTGTTCCAAAGACTTTCCGTGGTTGATAAAGCTTTGTTGTTTCAGTATGCTATTTCTCTTATGCTTCAACTAGGACTTTCGGTGTTGAACTAGGTTGTGTGAACCGATTCGGAAAGATCTAAATCTATATTTCAAGATTGCCGCTTGATTTATATGTTTGTGTTGTTTCATATATTTAGGATTAAATGTGTATAAGGGGAAGAGTTTATCTTTTCTAGTTGTGTAGTGGCCAAGTTCCCCATGAATTATAACTCTACCACATAAATAAATGTATAAACAAAGTCTAAAAGGACAAGATTCACTTGGTAGAATGACCGAATTAATTGTTAGAATCAGTTGGTGAAGAAAGAGGGGGATATATCTTCCTTGGAACAATTTGTTAAAAAAATTCACATTTCGGATTGATGAACCTTTTAAAATGATTCACAGCTTTATGTGGTTACTTTGACTTAAAAGGAACGATCTATAAAGAATTTTTATCTTCGAACCATCCGTTGGAAACCGAGTCGTGCTTGATAGAATATTCAAAGGCTCGAAAATCCCATTAGATGTTCAAAATGGTTGTAGTAGTTACGAAGGAAGATGTTGTATAGAAGGATGATAATTTATTTGATGTTATGGATGACCGGTTACGGAGGCACTCGTTTTGTTTTTATATGTTATTCCAGTCTTATTGTTGTTCCTCGTGCATTCATTCCATGAACATTCCGGAACTTCATTATTTCGAAACATTTTTTACTCTAAACTTGAGGAGGGTTGAGAAGAACATGTGATCGATATGTTTATGCTCGGTTCATGTTGAGGGATAACTTGGGAGTTGACAAAAAAGAGGCGATTTTACACATGAAATCACTCGCCTCGTGTAACATTCCACACGCTCTATAGGAGATGTTATTTAATGAGTGAAAGTTATAATATATGTGAATTACAGATTGTTCCCTTCTAATTTTTTGTCACTTTCAAACAATTAAGCCCTTGTACTTCAATAGAATGTTGCACTCGTTTTGTTATCTCCGAATAAGGCTAATATCTTTTGGAAACACTAGGGACTAATTGAAACTCAGTCCAAACTGATATGATCATAGTAATACTCAACAAAAGCCAATGACAAATATGATATTATTTATGATTTTCTCTTGAATCTTCTAGAGTTAAACTTTCCCGGATGCTCATAAGATTAACAATGTTAGTCGACACTCATAAAATAGCCATATTGAAAAGGTTAAAAGAATCCAATTGTTCTCAAATAAGACCTATATGCCATTACCAAACTAAAAGCTTTTAATTCTTAATTTACCGCATTTTTAGTTCTAGCTCAAGATTCTAGATAAAAATATGATAGTAAAAGCTTAAGCCATTGGTAAACCGCCGACCTTTCTTGTTTAACCGATTTCATTGGAAAGTCAAAGTTCCTTTTGATAAATTAAAGAGTTTTTCTAAAAAATTTTGTGTCTTTCTCTCTTGATAGATTTACAATATATAGATATTAAGTGTACATCAAATCCCTACAACTTAGGACCTAATTACAGTATAAAATATATACAATCAAATAAAGATCCTAAAGAAGAAATCAAGGAATTTTCTACACATTCCTTACTTAGCATAATCTCCTAATTAATGATAATATGATGACAAAGAAAGAATAATAAATGAGAATAATTTTATTGACATCCCCCTCAAATTGATACGGGTAAGTTTACAAGCATCAATTTGGTACTAAGAAACCGATGTCGCTTACGCGTCATAGCTTAGTAAAGATATCGACTATTTGAAGATCAAGTAGTGACATGAGGAAGAGTGATAAGACGACAATCAAAAGCATCCCGAATGTAATGACAATCCACTTCTATGTGCTTGGTGCGCTCATGATAAACTAGATTAGTAGTGATATGAATAGCACTAGTATTATCACCATGAAGCGAGTAGGATCAATTTGAGGAAATCCAAGTTCAAAGAGAAGACCACGTAACCACACAACCTCATAATAAGCTACGGATATGGCTCTATATTCAGTCTCCGTGGAGGATTTAGAAACACACTCTTGCCTCTTACACTTCTAAGAAATCAAGGCATCTCTAAGAAAAATGCACCAACCAGTTGTAGATTTCCTTGTATCCGGACATCCGACTCAATCGGCATCACTATATGTAGCCAAGTGAAGAGAAGAACCTATAGGAAATAATAATCCGCGAGTAGGGGATCCAATTAAGTATCGAATAATGTGCCTAACTCGTAACAAGATGAAGATGCCGAGGTGATTGCATAAATCTACTAACTATATGGACAAGCATATGAGATATCGGGCCTTGTAATAGTTAGGTAGATAAGACTATCAACTAGTCGCCTATAAAGAATTGTATCGAGCGTAAGCTCGGCCTTCATCTTTTTGGTACTTCACATTCACCTCCATTGGTGTATCAACGAAGTAGCATCCTTTAAACCAACCAAGTCAATAAGGTCTTGGACATATTTATGTTGATTTAAAAACAACCCATGTGTTCGAGAGTGAACCTCTAGTCCTAAGAAATAAGTGAGATGTTTAAGATCTTTCATATGAAATGTATTATGTAACATGTGTTGGAGCTTAGTGATTATACCTTTGTTATCACCAGTGATGATTATATCATCAACATAGACTAAGAGAAAAACCACACCCATAGTTATCTTATGAAAGAAGAGAGACAAATTATATTGGCTTTGTGTGAAAGAGAAGTTCGGAAGGGTGCTGCGAAACTTCTTAAACTAGGCTCAATCGGCTTGTTTCAGCCCATATAAGGATCGTCTTAGCTTGCACACTTCATGAGGAGACGTTACTTGCATACCAACTTGGAAGTTTCAAGTAAATGTCTTCTTTGAGGTCTCCATACAAGAAGGCATTTTTTACATCCATCCGAAGTAAGGGCCAAGACTTAGAAGATGCAATAGCAATAATAGTTCTTACCGTGGTCATCTTGGCAACCGGAGCAAAGGTTTCATCATAATCGAGCTCATATTCTTGTTTATTTCCAAGAGCAACCAGTCGAGCTTTGTATCTATCTAAAGAGCCATCGGACTTAAGTTTCACATTATAAACCCACTTACTCCCAATGGGTTTGACATTTGGAGGATAAGAGACAATATCCCAAGTGTTGTTTTCCTCAAATGCTTAAAGTTCTGCTTTCATTGCTCATTGTCGCACTCATGTTCCATAGCCTGTTTATAACAAGAGGGAATGGAAATAGAAGATAAAGTAGTAGACAAAGACACAAGAGATGTAAATCTATATCGATTATGAGGTTTATAAGTTCTAGAACTTTTTCTGGATAAGAGCTGGATCACTAGCAAGTCGAAGAAAAGGATCGGATGCCATATGAAGATCTAGAGGAACCACAAGTAGGGACTTATAAGA